TGTTATATCCTTTGTTTGCCAATTACTGTGTTGACTGTCAATGGATTTGTAGCTGTGATTCCTTTTTCCTTTTTTTTTTTTTTTGTGGAATGTAGTTGTGATTCAGAAGGCTAATTTTGATCAATAGTTTCCGATCTTCTACAACCACGTGAGATGAGGGAAGGAAAAGAAAAAAATTAAGGGTTTTCTAACTTGTAGTAGCTTAATTTTGATTAACAAATGCCAATCTTCAACAACCATGTGAGATGAGTGGAGAAAAGGAAAAAAATTAAGGGTTTTTTAATTTGTGTTTTAGTGTTAAAAAATATAAAATAATATATAATTTATCAATTATCTAATTAAATTTATTCATGTGACATTGACTCTAAAATTAATATTTATTTTTATATTTTTTTATATAAATTTATTACAAAAAAATTACTCTTAATCTATATTTTAAGGGTACAAATTAAAAAAATTCAAAATTAAATCTACATTAGAAAAACAGTGGATAATAAATGGATGTTATAATGGTCAATTGAAACTAACACTTTCTAAACAGATATGATATCAGAGCTGATTTGCTTAGCTCGGTAAGTATAGGGGTTCATTTGCCAATGAAATAAGTTAAGGGGTTGACAATGTTGCAGAATTTGCAATTGGGCGGTCGGAAGTTTGCAATTAGTTGAGATTCTATGGGTCACTACACTTACTCGACTCCATACGGCCTATTTTTGCTGATTCGCTCGGTCTTTTCCCTGGAGACACCTGTTGTCGAATAGAAATTTCAAGGATATTTTTTCGTTTAAGGTGGGGATGGAGGTATTTTTATTTTTATAAAATTTTAAAAAGAATTTTTTCTATTTTGTGGAGATTTGTGAGATTCAAATATAATAAAAAAATATAAAAATTTATTTATATATATATAAATTTTTGTAAATATATTATCAATTAATTTTTACTTATTCAATTTAATTAACTAATCCAATATAATCTAAATTATCAAGTCTAATTTCTTTTTCAATTCTAATCTTCTCAAATCCAATTCAATAATCCAACCCAATTAGACATATATAGCAGTTCACACATTTTTTTTTATGAACTTATTACTGGAGTTGTTAAACATATATGACAATATATATTTATTGTAATTAGTTATTAAATATTATTTTTATTACACTACATGTTAATATATTTATTTGTTTGGGTTGTTTTAATTTTTTTTATTTATAAAAAAATAAAATTTTATATATTTAATATTTAATGAGAACTCTTAATACCCATAGATGAAAACCTATTATTCACTACGAGGATCCTTGTAGGTATAAAAATAGAGGATATTTTTTGCACCCTACCAAGATCTTTATGGGAATTCTCATATTCATCATTGATAGAAATAAGAATAGAGAGGAAGTTTTCCTCTCGTGGGTCCCTTTTGCCATCTTTAATTATTGTAATCATGTCTCGTTGCAACCAACTGTAAATAATAGTGATTTAGGAGCTCCATTCGACTAGCTAGTCGAGGACAGCGAGGCCTTTTTTTTTTGGTTTCTAATTTTGTTTTTCCTAGCTAATTGAAATAGCGTTGTTTCAATTAGCAACCACAAAAAAAAAAGAAAAAAAAAAAAGACTATTCATGTAAAAAAAATAAAAAAACATCCTTCCCTATAAATATAACGCAGACACATTGCGTTTTCAATTTCATATTTCCATTGATCTATTTCTGAGCCTGATGATTCATGTCTGTAGTAACATATAAAATCCAAATCTGCAATTTTCCTTCTCAATTTCATTTATGCTGCGTTTCAAGCTTCTGCAAGTTGTACTTAAAAATAAAATTCTCTCCACTCATTACTCTTATTTTAAAGGCTAGGGTTCAATGTTTTGCTCGGTTATTGCTCTAATTTTTCTTCCTTTTTTTTTTTGTTATTTTCTATTTTTTTTTTAATTTGTCATATATATATTTTTAAATGTCTAATGCCACTCAGGCGCCTTTGGGCAACCCTAGGCGTCGGGCGGTGGCTTGCCGCACAACCACCACCCAACAACTTCTACAACATTAGGGATGGATGTAGAACCAGAAGTTCAGTAGAAGGCTAATTTGCATAATTTAACTTTTATTTAATTCTTTAAGTCTATCATTTTTATTTTAATATAAAGGTCTTGTTATACGGTATAAATTATATCTAATTATAAAATTA